TGTGGTACATACAAACAATGGAATACTCAGCAATAAAGAAAAATGAGTTTCCGAAACATCTTACAATGTGGTTGAACCTAAAGGACACTGTGCTGAGCGAAGTCAATCACAAAAAGACAAGTAGTGTATGCTCTCACTTTTATGAAATGACATGAATAGGTAAATATACAGAAACTAATGTTCATTAGCAGTTATGGGGGGGAGTATTCCTTAGGCAGTAGTCATTTTTTGTTTATAAAAATGGTGGCACCGAATATGGGTGAAGTTTGCATAACAACCAATGTAACTGATGTCAATAAGTTGCACATAGGGAAAAGGGATGAATGGGCAGATGCTAGGTTGTGTATTATTTTGTAACAATAACAACCCCCCCCCCCGCCAAAAAAAAGTGAAGGCTACAGATGACAATACTTATTAGACATAACCAATCATCTCATGGGATTAGTTCTCTTGGTTTGGGGGCTTAGGGCTGTGGTCTCGTAGGACAATCCAGTCAACTGGCATCATATAGTTCTTAAAGTTTACGTTCTACCTTCCAATATGGTGAGTAGTGTTTGGGATCTTAAAAGCTTACAAGCAGCCATCTAAGATACAACTATCGGTCTTTATTCGTTTGGAACAAAAGAGAAAGAAAAAAACCAAGAATGAGAGAAGGAACTGGACTACAGGACTGTCTACATGAACCACTGCCTCCTCCACTTTGAGACAAGAAGAACTAGATGGTGCTAGGCTATCACTACTGAACATTCTGATCAGGAGCGTAACAGAGAAATCCTGATAAAAAGGGAGAAAAATGTGGAACAGAACTTCAAATTCTTAAAGAATCCAGACTTACTGGACCTACTAAGGCTGGAGGAATCCCCGAGACTATGGCCTTGCATTGCTCCTCAAATCCTGAACTGAAACTATCCCCTGGAGTCCACTTTAAACTAAATAACAGTTTAGCCCAAAGAGTAAAGATTGTCATCCTTGAGTGCTGCGTTACTTAAAATATAAATATATATATACACATATATACATATGTGACCAAAGGGTCAACAGCTATTTTCAAGCATAGATGACAAAAGTTGGGGGGGGCAGAGAGATTAAGTAAATGGCAGTGAAACAACTAGAACAGAAATAATGAGAATACTGACACCATGTGAAGAATTTAACCAATGTCATTGATCATTTTGTCTAGAAACTATAGAATTGGAGGATTTGCTGTGTATATTTTCACCAAAAATAAAATTTAAAAAAAAAAGCAATCAGAATGACAACAGATCAATAAAGAAACTACCTGGATACAGGAGAAATCGAAATCAGCAGTGCCAAGTCAGCAAAACAGGACAACTTGGAAAAGGCCAATCCCAGAGGGCCCAGGTACAGAATAAATCAATGGAAAGAATCTGACAAAATACAATAGCCATGAGAATATGAAGATTTAACCTCTACCAGCAATCCTCAAAAGAACCACAGTACAGAGTTCATCATTAAAAGCAGAAGAAAAGGTTTCAGAAATGAAAGAAGACTGAAAGGCTTGAAAGCCTCCCACAAGAACTAAAGAAAGCCATGAAGAACATTAAGATACTTAATATACTTAAATAACTCTTAAACTATAAGGAAAAAGAAAATACTCTTCACAAAATCTGAAGTTATAAACTATATTTCTTTTGAATACAAATAACAACCATATCAGGTTTCTAAATGAAGACTAGAGTCTGGAGGCCAATGGATCGATGCGTATAAAAACCCTAAGGGTGAGAAAAGAAAAAAAAACTTCTCTTTAAAAAACATACCTACTTCATAAGCAACAGCAGCAGAAATCCTTTTATGGATTACTAAAACATCCCTCTTATCTTCATTGTGGTCCCCATACCACTGAAACTGAACTCATTCATTCATTAACTATGTTAACTATCTACTATGTAAAATTCATTAACTCTCTGTAGAAGAATTACAGATACAGGCTATGCAAGGGGTACTATAAAGGGAATTTTGCATCTGAGACTCATAGGTAAAAATGTGTCTAAGTTAATGGTTGGATTGATTCTGCTGACCTTCTGGGTAAAATGCAAGGCTCCTCTCTTCTCACATGATTCATAATAAAACTGTTATTGATATATTTGCACTGTCTTGTATTATCCCAAAGGCTGAGAGAGCAAACTGCGTCTGCAGTTCTCAGACAGTGGGTGACGGAAAAACAGGAGCTCTGCACAGCCTCTACTTCCTCCTCTCAGTCCCTTTCAAACACAGAAGGACCAGAAATTGTACCAAAAACATTTGGGTTAAACTGGCTGGGCCAGGGGAACTGGATAAAGGAAAATGGGCTCCACTGGACAAAAATTTACCTTCTAAACCAGTCCTGATGCCACACCTCAGACCCTGGAAATCTACAAAAGTTTTCAGCTGTTGCTGGCTGCTGCCGAAGTTCTCAAGGGGCCCAGTCTTAGCCACTCTGCACTTCCTGCGGCCTCACCTGGGCGCCAGGGTTCCCAGAATTGTCACATGGCAATCAGTTATTCAAACTACTCCCCACACTAAGGTGGGACACGGTAGTCCCCTTCTTCCCAATACCAATCAAAATTCCAATTCTATGACTACTGCCCATTAAAGCTACTTATTTAAACCTTAAGAATATCAAATAGATCAATTCCATACATGCTTACTGAATAACTACCGACCAGTCTGCACTAGGGTTTTGGGTTAAAAAAAAAATCTCCCTTTCTAGCCTAAAATTTTGGACATCTTCCCTTCCTGGACAGCCCTACTACTAACCATTCCAAACAAGTTTATATAGATTCCTCATATAAATACCAAGGAATCCCTCCCATCTGGTGTCCAAACTCAACACGACAATGAACAGGGAACTGACAGTCTCCATCTGGCGTAGGCGAGCACCCTAGCTTAAGGGAATGTTCTGTTTAATGGTATTTTAAAATCCAGATGGGCTAAGATGGGATAAAGAGCATGGAAAAGATATTCTGGGGTATTCTCCCATCCCTAGCAAGTTGAGGAAAAAGTAAAATACTGAAAACAGCACTACATCCACAAACCACGCATCCTGCCACCACCCCCAGTTGGCACTCCAACCAATTCAGGTGACACTACTCCTCCTTTCCAAGATCTCAGTAAGACAGAAAGGGTGCAGGTTAACAATGTAAAAAACCAAAAAAGGAAAACCCAAAACTAACAATACAGTGAACTCTTTTCATTCATATGGGATCTTTCATTGTCCACAGTCCAGGTACTTCAAAAGCTATGATACGATAGATTTGGTTTTTTTAAAAAAAAATTATTTACAGAATAATGAAAAAAAGTGTCCCATCAACTACAATGATTTAAACTCAAACAAGACTAATTCTAGATTTAACGAGGATTCTTTCTAGTCTTGAGCAAAGATTAAGTTCAACTATAAAACAGGCACTTTAGAGAACAAACGAGCCAATGCTTGTAAAGCACATAGGAAAGGCAAGGCAGAAAGCAGGGAGTCATGCCTGACTCCTCCCTGTCCTTCCCCACATTCAATCAGCAAGCCCCATTACCTGTTCTTCCCTTTCCTTTTCTTTGGTCTTACTTGTGTAGACTCTAGCAACGGTGGCATCCTGGGATGGAATGGCAGAGATCTGATGCAGTGGCATGCTCATCCCAGCCTCCTGTCTGGTCGCCTTCTTTACCAAAGACAGTCTCCACTGGCAAAGTCATTTTGGGCCATGGATTTCAAGCTGAGAGAAAGAGAGGAAAAAAGAAGAACATAACTGAGGTATAACACCAGGAGTAGTATTTTATATTTAGATTCAAATAATATAATGCTTTGGTCTTCAAAAATGATAGAACATGAATGTCCAGGAAAAAAAATTGGAATATTTTTCGCATGTAATAAGATGGGAGCTCCTGAAAGAGGCTGGTGGAACAGGTACATGTATAATCAGAGATTAATTTTCCATTAGCTATCTAGGTTTGAAATACAGCAGTGCCATGCTTTACTTTAAGAATATTTTTGAAGTTAATTTTTTTTTCTTGAACGAGCATTCATCCTGATAAAAGTAGTAACTTTTCCTTCAAACTGCTGCCCTTGAATCCACATAGGAGTAAGATCAGAAGCTAGGAAGGCTAAAATAAATTCAAGATATCTGGGATCCATGCTTAACACTGGAAAAATCTAGACTCTTCAGACCAGGAGTTGGCAAGCTTCAGCTGTGAAGGGCCAGATAGTAAATATTTTAGGTTCTGTGGGCCAATATCTGTTGCAACTACTCAACTCTACTATTGTGGCATGAAAAAAGCCATAGACAGTATATAAATGAATGAGAGTGACTATGTTCCAATAAAGGTATATTTACAAACACAGGTGGCAGGGTAGATGTGGACCATGGGCTGAGTTTGCCAATCTCTGCTCTAAGGGGTTTTTCAAGGTCATCGTGGATACTGATGTGTTTACCTGGTCACCTGGTAACCATGACAAAGCTGACCTTGGATAAAATAATAGTGTCTGTATAAGTTG